TTTATTTTTCATTGTAATTGCTGCTGATGATGATGATGTTGTTGTTGTTGTTGTTGTTGTTGAGTGGGTGGTTGGCGGATGCTCTGATGTGGTTTGCTCCTTCTTTCCTACCTAACATCTATCGTCCTGATCTCTCCTCCTTTTTGTGTTTGTTACTTTTTTGTAACACCTCTAATCTTCGGCACTTATATGATCTTATTGTGTCTCAAGTGCCGTAAAACTCTTACTAGAACTAAACTGCTTTTGTTGTTCTTGTTGTTTTGGCAAATTTGTGAAAAACTGCTTAGAGTCATCGCCCCCTTGCAACACTGAAATAATCTTGTGGGCTATTTAAGATGCGAGACGTCTGAATTTGATGTTCTTCTCCGATACGACTAAAACAAATGTGAAAATACGTGTACTATACCTGTCCCCCAAAACACAACATTGAACCGAGCCTTTTTTGCTGTTACGATTATTTTGGTAGATGTCTTCCGCTGTAGTTTTTGTCATGGTTGTGGAGACTTTTTTAGTTGTTTTTTTTTTGGGGGGGGGGGTTGTTTGTTTTGTTTTGTTTTGCTGCCAGTGACGTTTTTTTTCCCCTATTCCAAGTAAATGCGTGACTTAACTTGGTTACCCTGACCATAACTCTAAGCTGAACAATACTCAATTGCTTTAGCCTTGAAATCCTTCCCATTGTATCGAATATCTGATTATCCGCTATTTTAACGTTGAACAAAATTGTTATGTACCATGGGCTGCTCTTCGATTTCAGAAACAGCTGTTAAGAAAAAGAGTGTGAGATGCTATTTGTAAGGGGTGATTTGTAGAGAGTTCCAGGGACGGACGTTTCTTGTAGACAGAGAATGAAAGCGAAGGCCACTACTCTAAAATGTGAGTCATTTGTCAGTTGGAAGAGGGAGGGGGGGAATCCTCTTTGGCTTCCGTGGAAACATCTATGCGGAGACACGTCTCGATCTATGCTCAAGATATTGTGGAGCAGGTGACACCCTATTGGGGGGGGGGGAGACTGTCATAATTTGCTTCCAGTCTTCTCATTGCCCAAGATTCTCAACATGATTTATTTGAAAAAGTACAATGAACATTTCTCTTTGAACCCTTCATAATACTTCATATCCCCAAGGTATAAAACACCTGATCACCCTTTATTGTATCGTAGTTCTTCTTCATGTGGTTGTTACTGTGAAATATTTTATCCTGTGTGAATGAATTTTTACTTATCAGTGATCCTGTGATTGATGTAAAGCGCTTAGAGGTTATACCCGTAGGGAATAGAGCGCTGTATAAATGCAATGTGTTATAACTATTGTTATTATTATTATTATTGTTGTTATTATTATTATTATTATTATTATGTGAAACCCCACTACAGGCAGGCTTTCAATGGGTTTTTTTGGATCCGCTTTGTCCGCAGGGTATCGAGTACCTGATTGAGCATGGCCTGCTGCAGAACACAGCCGAGGACGTGGCACGCTTCCTGTTCCAGGGTGAAGGGCTCAACAAGACGGCCATTGGGGATTATCTGGGGGAGAGGTTGGTCTTCCTCTGTTGACAATTTTCTTCTTTTTTTTTTGCTTTTAATTCTTTTAGTACGTGTTGAAGGGGCCTGCACTGCTGATTTAAGGGTGTCTGGGTTGGGAGGAGGGGATGGGGGAGAGTGTTGGTCTCCGACTTTGAATGTCAGGTCACTAGTTGTCATCGTGGTGATATTTGTTTGCTTACATTTTATTTGCTTAATTTCAAATCGTCATCTTGCAATGTAGTACTAATCGGTGACTTTGAATAATTTCAAGAATTAATTTCATATTTATGTGTATCGTGACGTGTGTGATTGAGTTCTAATTTATCATAAGGAAAGGGTTTTTTCCAGGCCCCCCACCCATTATATTTCACTGAAATCCGTTTTAAAATCTGTCAGAACGTTGTTATTCTCAGCCTCTGTTTTTCTGTTAAACCACATATTATTTGTGTCATTTAACTGTCTTTGTTTGCACATGCAACTTCGTGTATCAATCAGCTTTCAAGTACAATGTCATCAAAAGCTAATGTAACATTTGTACCTCCAAGGTCTAAGTGTTCATCGTAATTTTTTATTTCCAGTGTGCAAGCATCTGGTCATATGAAAATAAAACACATGTTTTTCTCTTCTCTTCACAGAAATGATTTCAATGTTGCAGTCTTGAAGGCCTTTGTGAATCTTCATGAGTTCACCGACATGATTCTTGTCCAGGCTCTGAGGTAAAGTAGAGAAAGATGAAAGTAATGACCTCATATTCAGACTTTTTTTTGGGGGGGCGCAATCACACCCACACACACGCACACACATGTTCAAAATAAACTACCATCTTCATTGATTTGGGGGCCTCTTGCAACTGAATGAGTACCATCTTTCTGCGCAGGTGATTGGCTGATACTACTGGTAGATTCTGACTGTCACTCTTTTGTTTCTGTCTCTACGTTTTGCTTTTTACAGTACCTAAATGACTGTTATTGTATTGATGTGCTTAATTTCATCCCACTAAACTCTCTGTCACATTTCATTCACACTTAGACAATTCTTATGGAGCTTCCGCCTGCCCGGTGAAGCACAGAAGATTGACAGGATGATGGAATGTTTTGCAGAGCGCTACTGCTCTCTCAACTCCGGTGTCTTCGTCAACACAGGTAATAAGCACAGTCTCATGAACTTCTTGTTGAAGGATGGATTTCTGCTTGCCAGTTTCTTCTGCTTTACGCTTAAAAGTTTAAAAAATTTTGTGGAAAATCCAATAGAAATGTTAACAAGGTAAATCATAGAGCATGTGATCTGTTTCTCATGGACTGTTTTACTTTATTATAGGGCACCGTAAGAGAAGTCCAAGTGGACTGAACAAGACAAAAAGGTCTGATTGCTTTTACCCTGTTTATGAGATAATGTGAATAAAAGTAGTTTATTTCAGATTGCTGAATTGGAGAATGTACAGTTAACATCCGGTAATTTATTAAGAGAATGAAAGTTGCTATATTTTAATTAATTCTTTCGCTACGGCGCGGCGAAAGTGCCTTCCGTACGGGCTCGAGAACCGATCTATGATTCTAGCTTTAATTTTATTCTAATTCACATATCCATGTTAAAATAAAGGTTACAATATAACATTGACTTCGGGGTCAAACGTTTGGAGATTTAGATTCCGTTTTGAATCGCGATTTCGAAGTTTATGTGACTTTGTTTTATCGCGATTCCAAAATTATAGCCCAGACACCAGTCTTAGTACTTATCATGGGTCTCAATAGTCCGCTATTTAGCGGATTTCCGCTACCGCCATTTCCCCCCGCTAAACTCCGCAACCGCGACAACAGGCCAATGAAAAAGAGAGTTGTTGGGAGCAGGGTGACTGCCAGGCCCTGGAAATTTAAAAAAAATCGCAGAGACCCGGGAAAATACAAAAAAGATCTCGAATATTTGAAAACCAAATCCAATAACGTCTTTAAGTTCATTTCTGTCGGTCGCGATTGTAATATTAATTCGGCTCTGAGAGTACGTTTCATGCGAATTGGCGGCTTTGGCGGCAGGCGGAATTGTGTCACCAATGCTCGACTGGAAAATCAAGATCTACTTTCGCTTTCGTTACTACCCAGAAATTTGTCAGTAATATTGACTGTTCGGCATTGAAAACGTGGTGTCGCCATGAAAACAAATCAATATTTGTCACTGTGCTGTCACTTGTGGGGGGCAACAAAAAAAAAAAAAGAAAAGAAAGTTATACAAGCATCTTGTCGGGCTCGCCATTGTGACCGGTCAATGAACCTGCGTGCGTTTTGAGCGCTGCGAAGTGCAGAACTATATAATGAATCATGACGGTCGATATTCTGGTTCTGGGCTCAAAAACAAGATTCATTTTTATATTATTTATTTATACAGGCAAATGTGATGAAGGGAAAATGTAAATAAGTCGCACAATACCCCAGGCGCCACCACTTTCTGTACGTAATCAAGATGGGGGGGGGGGGATTATTATTTTTTTTTAAAGACGCACTCGGGGATTGGGGGAGGGCTGGACGCAATACCAGATGGCAAAAAGAAACTGAAAATGGAAATAAATGTTTTATGTATAGAATTTTGATTACTACTTCAGCTCTCTGCAAAGTAAATTGTGCTTTGGTGCAGGCCTTGTGTGAAATCGGGAACCTTCGTAACTTGTAAGCGTGTTATGGAACTTAGGGGCCTAAGTGTTCGCGTTTCATTGGATTGGTGACAGTAAATTAGATCTCTATACTTTAACTTTCTGTTCAAGATTCGCACACTTTCAGTTTCACTGCTTCTTGCCCTCCCACAGTTCTTACACCCCTCTCACTGAATAGGTCTACTTGGGCTATTCTACTCTACTTTGAGTTATATATATTATATATAATGAATCATGACGGTCGATATTCTGGTTCTGGGCTCAAAACAAGATTCATTTTTATATAATTTATATATACAGGCAAATATGATGAAGGGAAAATGTAAATAAGTCGCACAAGACCCCAGGCGCCACCACTTTCTGTACGTAATCAAGATTGTAAATATTTGGTACTTGACTCTTACTTGAAATTATCTCCCAAACCCTCATATTGGTGTGAAATAAAATTGCTTTGATAATTGATGGTTTTTATTTCTGCATTCTAGGGTTCAACAATAAAATAATAATGGATGTTTCGCGAAAATGGGCTTCTGTGGCAATCACCCGAAAAGTTCCTCCTTTTTTAGAATTCTGAGTTGAGACCCTTGACTTATATACAACAAAATGTATCATTATATTGCTCACTAAAGAAATGTAGGACTCTTTTTTAGAATATTGATATTATTGGACTGAAAGTGATCTGTTATTGAGAAATCGATATTTTTCAGTGCTAGATCTAAGTCTAGTTCTAGATCTAAATTGTCAAAATATTTTTTTCTCCCCAAAATCACTACTTTTTGGTGAAATTACACAAAAAGTACCTCTCAAGACATGTATAGGTTTATTCCAAATGCAATTCTGAATAATTTCATGAAAGATGCAAGTGTTTTTTCTGTTTGTGAATGCATGTTGTCCTTTTTTCAAGATTATAAAAATATTTTTTATATTTTCAATTTCGGATGCTATGATCCAAATGTACAAATTTTATGGAATGTATGTAAATAACTGCAGATATTTAATTTTTTTTCCTGTTATATATTCATTTATCATTATTTTGATGTATCATTTGACTAGGTGCAAACAAATTTTTTGAGTTTCACCAAAGATTATTAGTTATATATTTTTACATTTTATCTGCATCCAAGCAAAATTGTGTTGCATAATTCCTTCTTACAATAACCAAAGATAAAAAATACACAAATAAATATAACAGATGTATTCTACATACCATAGTGGATTTTTGGTGTATAATATGTTGATATTTATTTGAATTTGTGGCCCCAAAGACTTGTGAACTGCTCACTAGTCACCATCTCATTTCCCCTCCCGAAAAAAATTCGTCCACAAGCCGAAAATAATATGAAACGAATGAATTAACAATTGGATAGAAATATTTTCTTATCTAGATCTATCTCTAATTGTTCATGTCTTACAAAGGACTTGATTAATGGGTTAATTTTGGCCGTTGAATGCATTATGAAAGACTTACAGTTAATGTGCATATTTCTAAAACATTGGAGTTTTTCAAAGTTGTCTCGTTTTGTTTTTTCCAGACACATGCTATGTGCTGTCGTTTGCCATCATCATGCTGAACACAAGCCTGCACAACCCCAGTGTGAAGGACAAACCCACCACAGAGAGGTTCATCCAGATGAACCGGGGCATCAACGACGGAGGCAACCTACCGGAGGAGTTGCTCACTGTGAGTGCTGCTACCTGCAGCTTTCTTGTCTCCTAGGTTCCCTCCCCCAAGAGTTTCAGGCCCTTGAAAGTCGCATCTTTTTCTTTGTTCTCAATGAGTGACAGTTTAGCAGTCAATCTAGTGGTGCACGCAAACTGCAGTTGGCTTCAGTCCCTTGAGCCTGCCCTACAGTTTTCTCTCCAGTGATGTGGCATATTGCCACGTCTGTCCTCTTTGTGTTATGAAGCAAGTGCAGAATATGGTGGCTGTTCTCTAGGCCCTGGTTGTATTGGTAGGAGGGTGTGGCTTCAGAGGGTTGGATTTGATTACACTCAAACAACATGAACCATCTTTTCAGTAAGATAGAATAGTTTTTATTTTATGTCCTAAAATTGTGAACCGATACCTGTAAAGCTATTCATATAAGAAATTCTAGTTATCCTCTATCTATCATTACTATAAATGAGATGTCTGTTTTACAAACCACACCAGCATGTGGTTGTTATATTTGAAATTTTTGGTTCTCAAGGTGTGTCTAATGTATAGTTGGGGGGGGGGGGGGGGTTTGTTTCTATTAAGTATAACATCCTGTTTTCTTTTAAGTTACTGTACTCCACCAATGTTGACATGCATGGGGTAGTAAAGTTTTAATGAAAATTATAAAACATTATTGACAGAATCTGTACGATAACATCAAGAAAGAACCGTTTAAAATACCGGAGGACGATGGCAATGATTTGATGCACACTTTCTTCAATCCCGTGAAGGAGGGCTGGCTCATGAAGCAAGGTAAGAAAGAACATTTGTCGAGTGGCGGGTCTGATTGTTGTACTCAAAGTTGGAAGCAAAGCAACTTTGATATTTTTAGGTACTCTCTTTGCACCATAGTCCTTATGCCAAATACTTGCAGGATGTGTGTGCAATTTATAAACTTTGCGTTTATTGATTCCTTGCTTTAGGTATTGTTGTTGATACTTTTCTTTGGTACAAGAGAACCAATTGTTTTTCCTTCCCCAAAAATGAAACAGTAAAAAGATATTGATAATAATAATGCTTGAAAAAACCCATCCCTCTTTATAATTATAAAACCATCAATTTCATAACTCAAAAAGGAGTGCTATTACACGCACCATTTAGAAATATCTGAAATTGTTAACTACATTGTGTCTTTGCTTTCAACTTTACGTTTTTGTTTGTCTACATTTGATTTCATCTGTGGATAGGAAGTGTTTGTTTGCTATTTGTTACTAATTTTAGACAATTTGAGACTCACTGCTACTGCTAGGGGCTGATTATACTTCTTTCTTCGTCTTCATTTTCTGCGACCCCCACTGATTGAACTAAACACTAACAATGATTACGATTTTGCAACAGACTTTTGTGGCTTGTTTTTTGAGAGCTTAAAGCATCAGCCTTTTTTTTATTTGTTCCTTTTTTTATTTTCTTGTCATATTAGGTGTCCCTAAAATTAGTAAGTGTTTGAGACTAATTTTGTAGATTTTCCTATGCTTTTTGATAATGCATCTGCCAAAATCTGCAAAACCATTTGAGATATTTGATTTCGTAGCTTAGCTGAATGCCTTGAATGTTGATAGATTTATTTTTTTCAACTGGTGTTTCGTGTATAGTTGTGCATATGCAAATGCATTTGAATGATTTTCCTGCTTCAGTTTAGTGACAGATGCATAAGCAGATGATTGTTTAAGGGTATTACTGTCTCCAACCTCTGCTTTAGCTTCTGCTCCGTGTCTTAGTTCTGTTATGTGGACCACGCACTTTATAATGGAACGCACCTGCAAGCTGCATATGAAGAATTTTGTACATTTTTTGTATCTCCTGCATTAGTGAATTTCAAATTCCTTCATATGTAAAGAGCTTGTTATTTTTTAAAAGAATTAATATGTTTTGTATTTATGTATGAGACTGAGGGGTTGTTGTTTTTTCTGCATATTACTATTACAACACGTTGTTGATATGTTGTTTGTCCTTAAAATCCTTCAAGCTCTTTCTGTACTCATTTTGGGTAAGTTCTGTTTCTGAAAGTTCAGAAAGACATCAGTTCTGTTTTATTATCACTTCTTGTCTGCTGTTGGAAACAGATAATGGTGAAAGTAAAATTTTTATTTCATTTTATTCTTTAGTGGAAATTTGAAAATCATTAACTGTTGACTCAAATGAAATGAAATTAGAAGTCGAAGGTCTAATCAGCGTCTGAAAAGTTATGATGCTGCTTATGTTGAGTCAGTACAGTGATAACCACATATTGGCAAGTGGATAGTAGACAGTGCCACTAAAGATCCTACTTCTTTGCTATCTCATTGTCTTTCATTTTTAAGCACAAAATGATGGGTGCCTTGTCGATGTTCTTCTCTTTAACACATAAGAAAGTCATGTGACAACTGAAGTACATGGCTCAGATTTCAAGGTGTAAAAGATTCTAACAAAATTGTGAAAATTGGAAGGGCTTTTTAGGAAGTTCTTACGGCTTTCCTTTCAGTCCATGTTCTTGCCTTTCCCTGCAGTGAGTCATAGTCTTTGAATAGAATCTCCCTCTTCAGTATTGGCATCCCAGTTTTCACTGTTCCCCTCTAAAATTTTGGCCATTGCTTATTCTAAAGGCTCGTAGCATCAACAAAAGTGTTTGGCAACAAAACTGTTTGGTGCTGTCAAGTGTTGGTTATGTTGCGGCTTAAGATGCTGTTTGGGTACATGCTGAGGCCGCCTCTCATGATTTCTTTAGTGCACGGTCATCCTAGCTGATGTAGGATGCTTGATGCTAGCATGAAGAACTTTGGGCTTCACTGCCTTTCAAGATGAGACTTTGATTTGCATGGCTGTTTTGTAGCTGTCCGCCACTATTGTGTTTTTTATGGGTGATGTTTTATGTTTAATTATATTTTTTATTATAAAGGAGTGTTTAGAATAGGGGGGGGGGGGTTATAAGTGAAGCTATGGAAACGAATAACTTATTTTAATATGTACATGGTCATCAGTCAAAATGTGAGCGTTGCTGATAAAGGTTGAAAAAGAGCAGTTCCTTTTTTTCTGTTGAAAATTTATAGATTTAGAAATCAGCAGTTTTGTATTGTTGTAAATGTGCCCATTGATGTTTAATTAAGGAGCATGTGTTGTAAAGAAAAGCATTTTAGATATTAAATTGGTTGTTATTGACAGGTGCATTTGTTAGGCTTTTAAAAAAATTGACCCTTGCAATGTTTACTTTGTTAAAGTTGAGAGTAAAATCAGGCATGGTCAAATCCAGACTACAAAGTGGAATGGTTGATTCCCATGGGAGCCAAAACGATACAAATGGCCAAACGTATAAATCATTCTGACTGTCTTTTTGGATTCTTGTTCTGAGTTTTTGTTTCTTTCATGTCAGTTGAAGTCACTTTTGATTAGGCTGGTCATATTTCTTTTTGCTTTCAGTCAATTACAATTAATTGTAAGCCTGTGGTTTTTTGGTCAGTAGATATTTGGGAAGGTGGCGACTCATGTTTTTCACATTTGAGATCACATATTCTGTGTTTTGTGCAATGTATAGCTTTAAACTTTAAGAAGCGATTTTTTTTTTAAACGAGCTAGTAAACTTTACTACTTGTGCATCTGAATCAGTCCCCTTCGAAAATGTTGGTGGGTTGCGTCTTGTATAAAGATGATGAATGGATAATAACATAATTTTGCCTGTTTATCGTGTGGCGTATTAGTTGAGTACACTGTCTTGTTGAAGCAATTTTGTTTGCCTTTTGTTTCTGCCAGGTGGCAGAGTGAAGAGCTGGAAGCGCCGCTGGTTCATCCTGAACGACAACTGCCTGTACTACTTTCAATATACTACGGTAAGTCTGGACATCAGAAAGGACTCATACTGTGTCAGACATTTGTTTTAGCTATTTTTATATATATGTAAGGCTTGCTCTTCCACAGTTATTATAAGGTGTTGATTTTTAGCAGAGTTAAGATAAATTAATGCTGTGTTTAAAGGGTGGAAGATGGTTGGATTGCAGTAATCGCTCCAGATGTCACTGTAAAGGAGTGTGGGCTTTCTAGAATAAAATTCTTCCTTAAAGTGGGCCTTATCTAGGTTGCTGCACTATGCCCGAAAGATAAGTTCATCAAGTCAAATTTCCTGTGATTTACTTCTCAGCCAACTGTGTAAAATGGCTTGACTACTCCTACCCCAGAATTACAAAGTCCTATTTGTCCATACTTAGTTTTAAGAAATCTGGCGTTTAAAAATTTGGAGTTTCACAACATGTCAAGCTTCTTCGATTGCAATTCTTTGAATTTCTTGATAATGACCCCGAATATTTTTACGATTTCGATAGAGCAGATAGAACATTTGATTTTTGACCTCATGGTCTTAGTAACTGAAAACTGCCAAAAATATCAAATAAAACTTTGTAATTCTAAGGCAGTGGACTGCAGTATCAAGTCTAAACCTAGGAGTGGCGCTGATCTCTCAAAATCAAGTTGTTCTCTCATCATATTATGTTTAGTAGTTACCAGGAAATACCACTGTATACAGGAGATCACGGAATATATTTTGATTTGGTTGTTGTTATTCTTTTTTGTTTGTTTGCTTGGGATGGAGGTGGGGGTGCCACTCCCAGGTAATGTATGAAAAGATCTCAGGTTTTTTAAAACCAATTTTTGAGCTGTATCTCAGTTAAATACTGTTCATGTTCCTCATGATTTGCTCAAGCCATCACGCACATTAATCCACTACCCACCAGCAGGAGGTGGAAGGACAGATGAGAATCCATACCCAACTGGAAATGAGTTTTATATACTTTGGTTTGTTGCTTCTGTATCTCCATCCTCCTAGCTTCCTTTTTTGCTTCTGTACACATACCATCATCATCATCATCCAGTGCCAGATCTGCGACAGACATCGGCGATCATGATTTTCCATTCATTCCTTTGCTCGGATGCTCTCAGAAAAGCTACGTTTCCCTGATTTTTCCTTGTTACCCATTTGTTTAGGTTCCCTAAGTATGTTGTTCTGGGCCTACCCCTGCCTCGCTTGCCCTCAATTTTGCCAGTGAGAGCTAGATGTTCAAGACCCTTATGTCTATTCAGGTGTCCCAAAAACTGCAGTTGTCGTTTCCTGATTGTTTTTAAGATTGAGCGTCCCACAGGGACACATACCACAGGGTCAAATATCAACTACTTTCAAATGGCACATAAGCATCTTGCAGGGCGTTAAATTGATATGTGGATATTTTACTGCAGCATGCTATAAACTTGACCTTTCTTATGCGTGTGACTATTAGTCTGTTTGCGAGTGCAAGCATACTATTATATGTGTATGTGCACAGATATGTGTTGTTGAGAGTTTGTGTGTGTAAGGGTGTATGAGTTGGCGTGCGTGCGTGTGTGTGTGTGTGTGTGTGTGTGTGCATATGTGTGTGTGATGAAACACCAAACCATTGTGCCAGCACCTGGACAATAAAGATTTATCTGATCTGATCTTGTTTATCTTATCTTATGTACATGAATCTTACATCCAGTCATTTGTATCCACTCCAAAGGACAAAGAGCCAAAGGGTATCATACCTCTAGAGAACATACAAGTGCGAGAGGTGTCCAATGAGAAGACAAAACCCAACTGCTTTGAACTTTTCTCAGCTGGGAGTTCAGAGATTATCAAAGCCTGCAAAGTTGACTCGGACGGAAAGGTGGTGGAAGGTGAGATTGATTTTTAGAGGAATAGGTGGGCTGGTTTTTCTGAATTATTGCTACAGTTGTATTTTTTATGGTTTGAATGACCAAGTGAGAGTTTGAGATTTGGAGTTGGTGCGAGTGACACATTACTGGTACATGTATGTTTGCTGCATATTGTTTATGTTACTAGTGTGTTTGTCTTTTATTGTCACTGTCAGCTGCTGCAAGACAAACTGTCTTTTGAAAAGGATAAGACTGCTCTTTATCTTATGTTCTTGATGTAATGACATCACTTGTGACTCAGTGCTGTTATTTGCCTATGTAACTTTAGTGAAAAAAAACCCAACAATCCACTTTTTTTTATACCTAAAATTATTCTTCCTAAGTTTTCTTAAGGTTGACATGGATTTTATAACATGCTTTTCCCCCAGCATTTGTTTACATTAAATTTTCTACAGTTATTTAGCACACTCACTTTTAACTGAAAGCTTTGTTGTGGGTAACTGATTTTGGCAGTGCATTGCAAATTTCTATGTCATCATCATCATCAATAGCAACTGTATTTTTCCATGTCAGGTTTTGATTGTTATTACCTGTATGGTGTTGCTTTTTATCAGTCTCTCCTTAATGTATTGACCGAGAAATTTTCCAGTGTCCATAGAAAAAACAATTTATAAGCAGGTTTGTTTTCATAGACCATTAGGAACTCAAAACGGAGGGCGTGTAAGGAGTGGGGGGGTTACACACTTAAATGTGGGGAAGGAAATTAAACTTTCTTTTATATTCCAGGTCGCCACAATGTGTACCGCATGGCAGCTGCCTCAGTGGAGGAGAAGGATGAATGGATCAACAGCGTGAGGTGATTACACTTGACCAACTGTAGGCCTACCTGTTTATTCATTAAAGTCAGATGTTCTAGAGAAGTGCCCTGAGGCCAGTGTGGGGCTTGTTGTTGGTTGTTGGGGGCTGGGGTTTGAGCTGGAGCATGGTCAGAAGTTTTCTCCTGCTTTTTAGAATTGGAATTATTTTTCCTCTCATCCTAGTGGCTTGATGGGGGATTGAGTACACTTACTGTCGTAGCGTAATAGATTGTGTTTTGTATAGAGATGCACTCCTCCAGTTTTATTATTTTCTTAAAAGCGATAACTTTGCTGACATTATTTGTATAGTTGAATATTGAATTGTTTCATTTATAATTGTTGATTTCAGAAAGGCAATATTTTAATTATCTTTCACAGTTCATGGTGAAATGATAGGTCAAGTTTTGCTAAATAATTGATATGTGAGGCAGCATGGTGAAATCAGGCGCTCGTCTAAATAATGAAAATGAAGGAACTGGCATTTTTCTGCCAGTTTGGTAATTTTTATGGGATTTTTGTTTTTTTTTTAGCTTTACACCATTGTTGTCCAATAAACAACATATTTCTGGGTGGATTTCACTGAAAAACTTTGATTAAAGGCACAAAAAATGTAAGCTTTCTGTTTCCATGGACTATCAAGCTATGGAAATAACCAAACTTTGGCAGCCGTTTTCTCGTTAATTCTGCCTTTGAAACCAAGCGACACAACCTTCTTCAGTCTCAAATATCTTGACCTCTATTCAAGATAAATGGGCTTTTTTTTAGCTATAGCAAAACAATTGAACAAGTTTTAAGATGATACCAATAACTCCACATGCCCAAAAATTAAGGAGCGCCTGATTCCACCACGTCGTGACACATATATGGTTAACTACTCTGTAGCTTTGAAAAATATTGTTCAAATCAAGATTAAGTACTCTCATACATCATGATAGATTAGCTTGGGAGTTTTGTATTGTAAAAATAGATTTGTGTAATTTCACGAATTATGTAAGTTATTACTTCAAGTTCAAGCAAGGAATAATAGTCTCTCAGGCACATAGTGAAATGGGTGGAACGCTGAAATTATTTTTGTTTTGAATGAATTTCACTATGAACATGTTTTAAACACAAAGAGATACATGTGTGTGTTTCGCTATGTGTGTGCTAGATTGTAGTTGCAACATGTTTTTGCTCCTTGAAGCTTGCTGTCAACACAAGTGCTTTATAATGTGACATTCAAAATTCCAACTTCCATGAACGTTTTCAGTACAGGATATACTGTTTGTCTCCTTTGTCTTGGGACTTAAGAAAGTTACATGTGCCTTGTCATTTGACTTCAAGTTTCAATGTTTTTATGAAAAATGAATAAGTCAGATGTTCATCTCTTCTTTTTTTTTTTTTTAAATTAAAAGAACATGCCGTTCTCTTCTGCTTTCAGGGCGAGTATAAATGACAACCCGTTTTACGACATGTTGGCCGCCAGACGGAAAAATGCCACAGGGTCTTCAGGCAGAGCGAGGTAAAAAAGAGTGGAAAAACAAGCACCTGTGACTGGAGACAAGGGGAAAACATAAAGACAACAGTCTGTTGCTGGTGCATACTCTGATCAGGAAGATGGGAACGAAAGATAGGAGAAGAAAAGATCAAATTCGTGTTTTATAATTCTGATCAAGTCTTAATTTGAGCCCTAATTGTTGTAAATGAATTTAAGGATTTTGTGTCTGTAATGTGTGTGAGGTATATCGGATGGATTGCTTCGGCTGTTCAGAACTGATTATATGATCACATTTTTTCCACCAGTGTGGACATGTTCAGCAATTAGTTCATATTAGTTGGTCACAGGGAAAATGAACTGAGGCAATTGGTCCTGAACTGGCACATATTGGGGGGGGGGGGTTTATGATTGTTAATTTCCCATGGGCTCGCAGGGATGTTGGGGAGTGGGGGGGGGGGGGGGGGGGGTGTTACATCATCCGGGACAGAGACTGTGATAGGGAGAGGAGCAATCCCTCAGGCAGTTCACAGTTTTTGACTGTCCCAAGATGATGTCCTTGGTATCTCTGGCAAGTTTTCAGAGTGGCTTGGTTGTCTGTTTCTATCCCAAGTTTTACTATATTTTCATATATAATGGTAGCTGCTACACAAGGTCTAAGTCTGTTTTTGGCTCAGGACCCACTAATGATTACATATATTTGAGTTAATGTAAAATAGTTGTCATGTTCCTATATAGTATACAGTACAGTACTTTGTTATATTCTTGTTTATTAATTTATCCTTTGCCTTGATCCTTACAGCCCCATCATGTCTGTTTGTTCATGTAAGAAATGAAACTTTCTCTGTTTTGTGTGAGAGTGAGTGAGACTCTGAGGATGCTGTAAATATTTGTATGAGATAAAGAGAAGAATTTAGCTGTTCAGTTCTCATTGTCGGTAAATGTAGGGAGAAAACTAGCAGGTAGGTGGATAGTCTAATGTGGTTAGCCTCCATTTCTTTTTAGTCAGTATTAATAGAAAAATATGGACTTTTCTGTGTAGACTGGGAAAGAACTTCAATGGTAACTCTAAAATAGGTTGAATATAGGTTGAGCAAGGCAATGTTTTTTTTAAAAACAATTTTTAAGTTACTTTCAAAACTTGAAATCATTGTCTTGTCTACTTCGTTCAAACCTGTGAGTCTACTCCTGAACTAACATCATACAGAACAACTTCAAAACAAATTTTCGAGAGAACAGCATTAGAGTTTTTCTACTTTTTGTTGCTTGCAGAAAGAATAATATCATTTGAAGGTATTCATTAAAAAAACCACAATCTTCCAAACAAATGAAGGTAGTAAATTAAGTGGGGTTGCCTCTGATATTGTGTTTTACTTTGTATGTAAAACTTTCATCTCTTTTTGTATTTTATCCTTTTTCTGTGAATGTGCCAGGACTGATATTTGGTGTGTTTTTTTCAAAACCCGTGTGGTTTTATAATTTTATAGTCTCTCACTGACTGCAATGCTCTAATATATATATATATATATTTTTTTTTTTAGGTTTTATGTCTTTCGCTTGCTGTTTATTGCGGGGGAGGGGTGGTGGTTTGAGTTTGTATTTTTGTATTAACTCCTTCAAATATTTGTGTGTATCCTTTTATCTCCAGCCATTTTGGTTAGGTTCTATTATTAAATTGCACGCACATTCTCTACTATCCAAATTGGCCAGAGGATTGACTTGTAGGGTTAAAAAAAAATACTGAATGTCTACACATGCTGCCTGTAATGTACAAGACAAAGGTAGGGGAGGAGTAAAAGCGGCGACAAGCACGAGATCCAGGCCTAGCCCGCACAGATGTGTGTGGGAGAGAGATTATCGAGCAGAAACCGAATGGGTGCTGTGCATTGTGTGTAGTCAGCTTGCTGGTGGTATAAAATATATAGGTTTGATGATACAGTGGAACTCGGATTTAACGAGAACTCGGATTCAACGAGATGAGATAGATTCCCCATTTTTCTTCTTCTTTAAAATCAATAAAAGTAGCCCGGATTCAACGAGCACTTAAATCAGCGAGCTCGGATTCAACGAGGTCGCTTCCAGGGTGAACAGCCCCCGCAAACGTGGCTTCGCTAATTTTTCTCCCAGAACGAACTTATCTATTCCCGTAAACCATTCATTGCACCTGCATCGTGAACCATTATTCAATTAGCCGATTGCATGCGACCAATCAGCGGCCTTTTAAATACCAACACATGTGTTGTTGGCACGCGCACGTGACTACTCTGGTGTGTGTCGGGGTCGGATGGGCAGCCTGAACACGTGTGGCTGTGTGTGCGTGTCGGGGGGAGGGGGAACTAGCGGTCCAGGCGTTGAACGTCGCAGATACAAACGCGTCATAGTCTTTTCCACCCGGCAACTGATCAGTATTACAATGATAAGCTAGTCTTGACGTAGATCTACGTACTGAATTGTGCGCTGGTCTATGGAATCTAAAGTAGCCGTATGCTAGGCTCTACACAGCAACACAACTTTTTGGTAAACAATCGAGATGACACAGGCATGTGTATTTGAACGAATCAGTCTTTTTTTTTTACACAGCTCATAATATGCAGGCATTTCACTAATTTCAGGCACTACTCAGTGCCTGTAATTATCTACACAAAACCTCGTGTTTGCTATAACGAACTCTCGGATTTAACAAGATTTTAGGTCAGGCCCGACGACCTCGTTGAATCCGAGTTCCACTGTAATACTTGATAAATAGTATCGATGCTTTTTTGTTTTTCTGACATGGACCCTGTCTTTAACGCTTTGCGGTCACTTGGCTCAATAATGCGCCTGTGATAATTAACCGTTCCGGTCACAGTTCTGCACCAGTTCCGATAAGTCCGTTGCAGTCACTCTCCTGGCTGGGTGACCAGATGGGGTATTTTATACTGCTGGCTGTATGACTGCAAAGTGTTAAAGAAGGTTCTTTCAAAGGAACAGTCCAGCCAAGGGAGTTATTGTTTTGTCATATGAGTCTTGTGGGGAATAGCCTACACTCAACAAAGAAAAAGTTTGTTTCATTTTTGTACTATGACGACAAGTTCCCATTGAGAGATGTGTTGTCTATCGTCAAGGGCTTCCACTACTGTCTGTGTTACTTCCCTGTATCGTTTACGACTATGGGTTGTTTAAGGGTCGCTCAGTCAGGGAGGACATTCGGGTGTCTGGGAGATGTTGTTATTGGAAGAACAGGAAAATACTTAAAGAATGTCACAATTGAACATGTATAATGTATGAGATTTTTTTTGTTTTGTTTGTTTAGTTGAGGTTGTTTTGTTGTTTTTTTGGGGGGGGGAATGGTTGGTGATAAAATGAGAATGTCTAACAAAGCGAAGAGGCAACACTTTATGAATAATGAAGGGTGTTGTGAAAAATATTGAACTGGGTACTATAAAATGCTTCCTTTAAATATTTTGATCTCAGTCCAAAACAGTCACTGAGTCATACTTATTGTTTACCCTAAGGTTGATCGTACCAAGTGTTCATTTTCTTTTTTAGGTCTCTAAAAGTGAAAGGCATATCAAATTGACATTTTATGTGGCTTGGCATAAGCTCTTTGAATAGCAATGTGCGCAGCATATTGCTCGAGTCTGACTTGTGAGAAATGCTTTATGAGACTGAGCACGTGCAATATGTTTGTATTTGTAACATAGGACCTAATGTCCAAAATCGTAGTTCTACTGTTTTGCAGTCTCATTTCACCAATGTACTAGTACTAGCCTATCATCATGTCTCACATTTGTGTCGTTTCAATCAAGTATGAGCTTGTTTTGTTTTCATTACGCAGTTTTGCATTTATTAAGTTGCTCTTCAAAGCGATGGAACTTCCCCACTTATTCCAGTGTAATCAAATCTTTCCCTGTTTGAACTCATTGCTTTTTATTGTGACGAATTCTCCTGCACTTAATGTCTGTTCCCTTTTCTACTCTACTGATTCAGCAGGAGGCTATGTTCCTGTAGCCACAGTGTTTCCCATTTATTTATGAACATTTCATATTCAAATTGAAATACCAAGGCTTGTGGCTTTTCCCGTGGCTATTTGTAAGACAAACGTTCAACTCCTTTTGACTCTGTTTTACGGTGTGGTAGAAACAATGTATACTTGGAGTTATTTTGGGGATTTTTTTGCAACAGCTGTCAGAAGCAGAGCTTCGTCTTGCCAAATTGTTGACATACAGATTTGGCACAGGCAGGATAGGAGTTAAGGCTGTTTATTGTAGTCAGATTGTTCAGTTTTAGGGCTGAGTGTGATGCTCTAAAGCGAATTGTGACACACAGAGGTACCAAATTATTTGCCAGCCAGACTCAGACTGGTCAGGGTCTCTTAATTCTTAAATTTTCTGCTTTCACAAAGTATTGTTTTTGTCAAAAGCAAATTACTTTATCATTTGGTAGAATTATTTTTGTCGGATTTTAAGGGCAACAGCTCAAGTTTTGGGCCAAAAGGCAGATCAAATTAATTTTGTAAATGATATTCTCGTATGTACTACCTTGTTGAGAGCTATTGTAAATACATTATATCTCTGTGTAAGTACCTGTACATTTGACTGAGAGATTGAATAAATAATCCCAACGGAACAACACAATCATGTTTAGAACCCTCACTCATACTTTACATACTTATGGATTATAGATCATATTTATGTTATTATGCTAGTCACTGTTTTTATGTGCATTTGTATATGTGTGCTTGTTAACCAATAGGCATACAACATGCTTGAACAGAATGTCATTTTTTTCTCCCTTTCTTTAGATTGAACCAGATGTCTGCAATTATTTGCTGTAGTGAGGTGAAGAGAATCTGTATACTCTCAGAGTGCTTTACAATAATGCTCAGTGCTTTGAAATTAATGATACATTGGCAGATTTTGTAGCAAACATAGCTGCCACTCAGGAATTTCAAAAAATGATGAAATTCTTTCGAAGGCGTACGCGCACTCTCCGAAGGCAGGAATAAAACCAGTGAGATCCAGAGGCAGTGTACTGGAACATCTGGCCTATGGTTTTGGAAGGGAAAAGTGTCATATTCAGCATACACTGCTGAATTAAAATGTATTTGAAAAAAAAAAATCCAAGACACTAAGTTAACTAACAAGCATTTGACACAGTTTGGT